TCTCACCAGCTGCAGAGCATTATGTTAAACTGTAATGGCCGGATGCACGTAATGGCCAGATGCACATATGTTATACACCACACTCTCTCTCTCTCTCTCTCTCCTTCACCCCAACCGGTCGAGGCAGATGGCCGCCCACCCTGAGCCATGGTTCTGCTCGAGGTTTCTGCCTCTTAAAAGGAAGTTTTTCCTTGCCTCTGTCGCCTAGTGCTTGCTCTTGGTGGGAACTGCTGGGCTTCTGTAAATATCATCACAGAGTACGGTCTAGACCTGCTCTTTTATGAAAAGCGCTGTGAGATAACTGTTGTTGTGATTTGGCGCTATATAAATAAAATTGAATTGAATTGAATTGAACTATTACAAGTGCGTTAGAGAGAGTGCTATACTGTGCTGTGATTGGCCAGCTGCGGGGTGTGACTCAGAGAGACCTCTGTCAAAAAACACTTCTCTGCCTCTGTGAATCAACGGACGGGACAGTGATGTACAAAGTACATTCAGAAGCATATATCTACATGAATATACATTAGGTACATAAACAAAGTGGTACAAGTATTTTCAGGCAAGAGACCTCAAGTCTGCGACACATCTGTGAATATGAAGTTATGAAGTGTTGAGTTCAGTCAAGTCTGACAGAAACAGAAGATTTATCTGAACTTTCGATTTGCTGTTTGATTTAAACTTCACTGTCTTCAGATACACATGAATAAAAGAGCAGCAGTCTGTTTTTGTTAGTTTCCACACACCAGCAGTGCAAACCTGAACACACTTTCTGATTCAGACTGAGACGTGAGTGGTCAAGTTAAAATGAGCTCGTTGCTGATTCATACCAAACTCTTCCCTCTGAAAGTCACGCCACTTTGTTCTCTGATTGCAGACGCTCAGACATTGAGAGTTCACTTTCCTCTCTGAGCTCAGCTGTTTAGGTTTAGCTTCCAGCTCAACCTCATCGACCTCGACCTCAAAATCCAAGATGGCTGCTCTGAGCTGAATCAACAGTAGTGAAAGCTGTAGTAATATAATGTTTATCACACTTCAGCCTTATTTGTGTCTCACACAGTCCTCTCCAACTTCAACATGTTGCTATGGTGTTTGAATGTGTGAAATATATGTGTTGTTATCAACTGGTGCTGACATTGGTTAGAGGCGTCCATCTTGGTTTTCTGACTTAAATCTGCTGTTGTACTGGAAATGGTCAACTTGGGTGTGACATCATTCCCAGCACCGACTTTTCAAGGTAATGGCACTCAGCATCAGCAAAGCAAAGAGGTGGAGCTGAGGCAGCCGAATGAAGCCTTGTTGCTGCAGCTAGCCACCTGTGAGGTCACTCACCTGTCACTCAAAGAGGCAAAAGCCTTAATTATGCATAACTTTACGCCTTAAAGTAATTTAAACTAATACCCCTGTGAGCAACACTAATCTCAGGACACATGGTGTTTCACATGAAGCACTGCAGAGTCAACACGGCCCTCTGCTGGTCTCAGAGTGATGCTGCTTCTGTCACCAGGCTGACTGGGACTGCACTGAGCATGTGCAGCTCTACAACAGCCAAACAACTGATGAACATTTCTGCTACATGCTGCACTTTGTACCGAGACCTGCCTTCAGTGAGGAAGATGCAGGGAACAGCTGAATGGATGCAGAGGGAGTTGGAAGGAGACCTGAGACTGAAACAGCGATGATGATGTTCACTGGTTCCTTTTTCCACTCACAATAATCACAACTACTGGCACTTTCTTAGCTTCACTCCTAATACAAGCAAACAGAGCTGCTGTAGGGCGCCACCCTCTGTTGGAAAGTGTAGTTTATTTTAGTTATTTCAAATTACAGCCATTAATTATTTAAATCTTATTTAAAACGTGTGGTATTTAAATATAAATCATTATGGAAATGTACACTGTTATACGAGCTGTGTACTCACTACTTTACATCGTAGCAAAGTGTAATTTCTTCAGTGTTGTCACATGGAATCTAAAATGTGTAACAGGTGAGTTTCATGCTACAAAAGCCAAAAGAAACATGAAAAAGTAACAGAGATGGAATATATATGCTACTTTAATAACATTAGTCTTTAATAATACACTGGTTAAATTAAACCTAAGTTATACATGAAATACACTCCAACTCATCTGCTGGCCCGCATGAACAATTCTGTGGTCGACAGTTAACTCTTGTGGCAAAACGGTGTAACTTAAAACTGGACATGGTGAAACACTGCAGATAGAGTAGGACAAAATCAGGGCTTCACGTTTGCTTTCAGCGGAGATGTGTAACAGTCAGTGTAACATATGGTGTTATTATGTGTAGCGTCAGAGTGCTTATGACGTCATGACGTAAAGGGAGGGAGACAGAAGTCGAAATAAAGAAGCGTCCTTGAAGGAACAGCAGTGACTCATAGGCCCAATAAGCCTGTATATAACAGGGTACATTTTTTAAAATTTGGACAAATACTTGTTCCATTTGCTTTTTATGTTAGGTTCACTGAGATTAATTATGATTACAATGAGATTGGCTTCTAAGTTGTTTTATTTACATTTTAAAAGCTTTGGTTTAAAAGGAACTATGGGATTTTGGCATGTCCCTAGTGTTGATCATTCAACTTAGATCTAAAAGAAAACCTTATAAAAACACATGTATTTTAAAATATTTAATTATTATGTAATTTTCCTGATCAAAATCAAAAGTTTTTATCAAAATTGTTAACATAAAAGAACTCCAGCTTAGAGAAACAAACACTAACATAAAATCGCGACAGTTTGGAAGCTTATTAAAACATTTCCAGCCAACAAGAGCTGCAGATCACAAAACTAAGGCAATGAAAATTTGATTAATTTCACTTAAAAACTTAAATAAGGCCTGTAGTCTGAACTTCTACCACCCCAGAAACTGAATTACGAGCAGCTGTCCCGACTCCCGTCCTGTTTGTACTGAATATTAAACTAAACATTAGTTTTGATTTTAAAACATTACTGATCGTTGTGGTTCTCAGACTACAGGCTGCAGGGCATGGTGCACATTGTGTCAACAGTGTTGTTATACTAGCAACTCGCGTGCTCTTTTCCCTTAAAGCGCAAGTGGAAGTTACAGTCACGAGGACAGGGGAGTGTGGCCTACAGGCAGCCAGAGAAAAGGACAGATCTGACAGGCAACACTAACATGAGAACAGACTGCTGCTCTTTTATTCATTTATATCTACCTGAAGTTTTATGTCAAACACCAAACAGATGTTCAAACAGGCCTAAATGTAGGCTGCTGTTTCTGCAGACAGACAGATGCAGTGAAACAGTTTGTCACGTGGAAACTCTGCAGGACGCTCACTTTGTGTCTTTGTTTCTTTAGGTCTCTCTCTTGCTCTGTCTCACCCCCAACCGGTCCAGGCCTGAGCCGTGGTTCTGCTCGAGGTTTCTGCCTCTTAAAAGGACGTTTTTCCTTGCCTCTGTCGCCTAGTGCTGCTATTGGTGGGAACTGCCTTAAAGCAGAGGAAACAAGTGAGCAAGCAATCAGTCTGGTACAAGAACTCATTGCAGTAACGCATTACAGTGTCAGCATCTGTGAAGTCAACTTATTGATACTGCTGAAAGGCTGGCAATACATAACATGAGCCTACACGCTGCAACACTGTCCTAACTCTGATCATTTTACCTCGTGTGTGGGTCTCAGTTTTGTTGACTGTTCAAGACATGGCCTAGACATATTAGCAAGTTAAGGCATAAGAGAGAAACGGGCAAATGGCACCTTGCAGGGTGATCGGTGACCTTTATCCATCATGGTTAGTGATTTCTTTTTCTTATTGTAGAAAAGTACAACACTTAATAGCACATTTTGACAATCTGAAACATAAAAAGGTGTTGAAACATTATCAGATTACAGCAAAGCCAAAAGAAAACAAACCAAAACAAACAAGGAGAGTCTTATTCAAGAATCACAAATGAGTCAAATAAAGAGAACAGTTCCTGGACATCCCTGTCTGTCATGTATTGTAAAGATTTTGCTAAACTGGATTTTATCGTTTCAGTTTGAGAACGTGCGTCGCTTTAAATACTACTGCTGCAAGGAATTGTGGGACGGCAGCCCAAGTCTGATGAAAGCCTCTGTAAGTGTGACATTAGCAGTGGACCAGAACGAAACACGAAGCAAAAAAAAGGCCCAAAAGAAGAGCGATAAATGACCAAAATGACATCAGATCAGTTCAGATAAGCTACAGTTTATTATCACTTTCAGATGGACAGAAACAGGAAGACAGTTAGAAAACAAAAAACAACTTTTGTATATATGAAGTTAAAATTATTATACATTTACAAACAGAAGAACAATAAAGAAGCAGCTTTAACAGCTTTCAAATTAAAATCTTTAGACCATTAATGTCTCCAACAAATTTACATTCACAAATCATTGAAATAAGTTTTTTGTTACATCTGTTGCATTCAAAGATTCTTTTATTAAGTCAGTGTGATTAAATATGTTTCACAGTTTCAAGTTTTGTTAATTATAATGTATTATAATGAATTCAGGTGAGTAAACGTCCAGCTGAACATTTACGTCATGCCTCACTTCACAGCATGCATTAAAGTTAAAACCCTTGTGAAATTTATCTACAGTAAAAAATAAATCAGTAAGTAAACCAGCTGTTCAAAGTCAGTGACGACGTCGTCCTCCAGGTTCTCTTTGGCTCCGAGTTATATCAGGTGCTTTGACTACAGGACTAGTCTTGTTGTTCTACATTTTCAAGAGTCCTCACAGTTTAGTCAACTCCTCTGCATAAATCACACAAAACTCCTTTAAATGTAATTTGCTTCAAATCCTTGCAAACACCACAAGCCTTTAACACGACCCATCACCGGCTTCTTATAGAAAAGGAAATAGTATGAGTGGAATATCTAGATTATAAATATAATGTATCATTAACTGAGACACTCACAACTCTCTCCACCTGGTTTCAACAGGTTTGGTTTGTCTGCTGACATTTCAGACATCCGTGGCTGTTTTCTGTTTAAAGCTGGTTAATCTGTTCATGAAGCTGCTGTGGAGTTTATATTGTCTCTAGATCTCTGTGCTGCCTTATTGATGCTTTATTCTGCTGTTTAAGTAGCAGCTTATTAAATGTAGCTTAATGAAGCGTGTTGCACCTGCTGCAGTGTCCGCAGCTCTTTTTATTTACTGTCAGGCATTTTTGTTAGCTTTGTTAGCTTTGCTGCGGCGGAGGAAGGAGGAATAGACGGAGCGTTTGTGTGAATAGAGAGAAACGGGTCAGCACCTCGTTCAGCAGTAAATGTACAGTAGAGGTTACAGAGGCTGGTGAATAAAGACTGCAGCTTCTCAGGACTAAAGAGGAGCTCCTGTGTGTTGCTGCCAACTGTTGAAGAGTGAAGGAGGTTCGCCCTAAAGTTAGCACTGACTTCAGCCCTGGAGATAAACAGTCACTATTGCGCTTCCCAACTCTTATTAGTCACTAGTTTTTTACTCTGTATTGTTTTGGATCTGCGTTTGTGAGCTTACACATATTGTTCGTTTGATGATGTTTGTTCACTAATTGTAACTATTGAAGTTCCTCTCGATTTTCATACCGCTAAATAAACTAGACTCCGTGTCTTAGGGCACTTTCACACCTGCCCCCTTCGTTTGGGTGAATGCAGAAATCGCACTCGGGTGTGCACCAAAAGCAGACCGTACCGAGACCTCCCTGAAGTAGTGGACTGGTAATCATGGCAATGTGCGTTCATGAGTTTGTTCATCAATAAACTCACTGCAGAATCGCATACTATCCCTTTAATGCTCTTTATTTTGAAGCTTAAATTGAAAAGTCAAATCACGTAATAGAATTCGCTCATTTAGAAGAGTTGCAATTGCTACATATGTCAGAGGTTACATGTCTCTGGAGAGAGAGTAGTGGTTATGAGTCTTTGCTTTGGTCCCAAAATAAATTGCACCTCCGCAGCACCACGGTTGTTCAGACGAAAAGAGTTAGTCCGGATCAAACTGAACCACGGTTTGATTTGTTTCTGGGGTGAACAAATTTTTTGGATGGTTGAGACTTTCAGACCACTAACAGGAAGTTCAGTGGTTGCCGTGTAAAGCGGAAACAAATGCACGGTAAAATGCATTAAAGGAAGGACACAATCTTTCTCGTGACAGATCATCTTTTGAAACGGACGGCCGCTATGGAAGCAAACTGACACTCGTGTCGTCGGGCACTCCTTCTTAAATTGATCTACTTTTCACTTGTATCTGAGTGCAGTTTAAGTAATTTTCATTTTACTTTAATATTGTGGTAATTCACCATCCCTGGCAAAGGGTGGATTATTTGAATTGGATAGCAGTCTGACCCTTTCATGCGACCCGACCAGGAACTGTGCTACAGATAAAATAACTCTCAGGATCAACGCAAACCACTTTTTTTTTTTGCATTGATGAGCAGACCATCATGGTCGAGAGCCTCAACCGCCAGATTTACACATTCACACCCACAGAAAGTCTGAAATGTTGAATATATGAAACATGTGGTGGAAAGAGATCAGATGACCTGGTCGTTCACTGCTTCATCAGCAGCAGGCTGTTCGGATTTCTTGTTCTTATCTCTTTTATATTTCCAGCCAACAGCCAATCCAACAGCAGCAGCTAAACAAACCAGAACAAAACCTGCTACAGATCCGTAGTAATGTCTGTAGTTTCCCTCCTCGACGTCTCCGCTGTTGGACCTGAAGATCAAAGTGCATATTAGTCAGGAAATGAGTGAACAGTGGAACAGCCTCCATTTACTCTTCTATATCTTCTATATTCCTCATGTTTGACTCTCAGAATCAACATGGAATAAAGTGCAGCTACAACATGGCACACAGACACACTGACCTCCACAAACTCACCTGAAACCTCCAGCTGGATGATTCTGATTGGCTTGTTCTCAATGATGGCTCTCTTACGTCTTGAACCTCCTGTTGCAACTCGACACTCGTATGTTCCAGCGTCGTTGCTGCTCACGTTCTTCAGAAGTAAAGACACGTTTCCGTCCTTCAGCTCTCTGTCCACCAGCTGCACCCGGCCTTTAAACAATGAATGCTGGAGGGCTGGATCTGTGTGTCCATCTCTGTAAAAGAGGACGGTCTCTGGTGGCTCCAGGTCAGGTCTGCTCCACTCTGCAGCTCTGATGGAGGCTTCACCAGCCTGACATGGCAGAACAACATCATCTCCAGGTTTCACTCGTACCACATCTAAAAACAATAAAAACATCCAGAGAGAAAAAGTAATTACATTTCAAAAGGACGATCTATATCGCTTGATGATAGAAAAACGTCTGTCATTTACAATTATGCTCCAACGTTTATTTCCTTGTGTTCCACACATCACGGTAATATTATCGAGGGGACTGCACCGCGTTGAAGTTGGTTTGAAATTGGTTATTTGACAGACACATGTGCCAGTGTTGCAGGAAAGACATTTCCCTCTTTGGGGTGGTCTGCAAGATGGCCGAGTGGAAAAGCTTCCATGACCTTTGGTTCGCTCACAGCCATAGACTGCATATAAAAAGCTCATGTTTGCTGCCACAGAACATAAATAAAAGTCCCTTTTTACGTTACAACATCTCCTCCTCCAACATTACACAGACGGTGAGAAGCTAACGCAGCTAGTTAGCAGCTAAAGCTAACTTACCATACAACAGCATAAAAGCGTAAATATAAAGACGTTTCAAAGCTGAATGCTGCGGCAGTAATTAAATTAAAGCGATCCGATGGTCGGCGCTTCTTCTTCTTCTCTGGGTTTTATAGACAGAGTCGCGGCATCTCCGTTCACTCCAATGGACCAGTTTTTCGCAGCAGTGGCGGATCGCGGAGGTCTGAATACTTCCCGGAAGTTTGCATCAAATGCCAGCAGCGCAGTGGAGCTTCAGTAGAAAACGCTGTGCGGGAGGCACGTTTGAAAGATAAGACGTGTAAAAAAATATGAGATTATATGTTATTAGCACAATTGAATCAATTTAACATGTGTGTTAAAAGATATTAGTGGACTTCCCCAACTAAATTAGAAGATTTAGACATTAACGGTTAACAAATTAACATACTGGCAATAGATAAAGTTTGCAGCGCACAATATAAACAGGGGCAGCTTATTGATTTATTTTAAAATACATTTTTGGGGGGGGGGGGGTTGGATTTAATTTTATTTAAATATATTAGTGATGCATGTATGAATAAAAGATTTCAAAACATTATTTATTTGGGGAGAATTATCCCTAACAGTAAAAGTAGTACACCAGCATATTATAAAAACAATCTTCATTAATTATATTAGAGCAGTAGAGTCTGCGAGGTGGAGGAGCAGTGACGTTAAAGAGTACTGAGTGGTGAGATGGAAAACAACACGATTGTAAATGCCTATTATAATATACCATTTATAAGAAATCAAACCTACAATGTTTTATCATTTTCTTTCCCTTCTCTCTGTGTCTGCATCCTTTCTTAGCTTATGAGCTTATTGTCCACACAACAATTCAGGTTTATTTACAGACATTCTTACTGGTGAACACTCAATTCTTACTGGATATGTTTAGTCTAATACATAATTACTTTGTATAAATTCAGATCACATCATCATCAGTGTTCCTGTGTTTGAAAAAATCAAAACTATCCAGTAACTGATGCCAACATCAGCAGCAAAAGCTGTTAATAATGTTCCAAAACTCAACAATCCATAACTTTCTCAATCAAAACTGTAGCTGTTCACAACAAAAGTTGAATTGAGAGCAACTGGACCTTTTCTGAAACATCCAGATGCTCCTGATTCACCTTTTCTTGGATAAACATGAGCTGGATGAATCTTTACAGATGTGTAGGTTTGTCTAACCTTCTCTCTCTTATTCTCCCTCTCAGCACAAGAATCACAGTGGAGCCTGAAGATGATCTGCAGTGATGTTTTTAATAAACAAACATAAAGCCAGTGATGTGTTCTTTCTTTGTGGAAAAAGTACCTCACATATTTTTATTACTAGCCTCTTTAGTGATTGTAAGGTTGCTCCTGTTGACCTGAGTCAACCATTTTTCCTCCTCTCCATGTCAGCTGGGAAACCAAACTTTCATACTCCTTTTTCAGCATCTCTACACAGCACAATAAGACAGTTCACAGACACAAACCACTTAACATGCTGTTGTCTGAGTTTACTGGAGATTTATTAAATTAATACATGACAATCATTGATGGTCACCTGTCTGTTCCAACTGAAGTCATAAAGATTACATTAGTCATTAAGATCAATTAACCCTGGTACCGTGGGGTTACTAAAGGTATGTTAGCAAAGTAAATCTGATTTTAAACATGTTTTCAAGAGGAAAGGTCTGGGTATCTCTGGATAATCCGTAATTTGTTTGTAATTATAAAACGAAAATACCGTTTATCTGTGTTTTGTTTCAAAACGAAAAACCAATTAACCATTTTTGGTGTCAGAATCAAAAAAAGAAAAATAAATTTGCAGATTGCAACCAACTTGTTCAGGTTCATACCGCCACCTACTGAACCGCAGGTTACAGGTTCAGTGAACCAAAAGGTAAATAAATAAAAACAAAACTCAACAATAACAAAAAAAAAGAAAAAACAAGGCTATATGTTATGATCTAATCCTGTAGATCTGAGAAATTTAAAGAGAGCTTTGCAGCTCTCCCTTGTTTCCTCACTCATCCCTAAAATCCCCCCCTACTAATTCATCTATCTTGTCACGTAAGATGTTCCTCTATATTTACTACACTTCATGATGACATGCTCGACATTTTCAGGAACATTACAAACCTCACATTTATCAGACACACATTTTGCCATTAAATAAAGCGTTGATTTTAACCCAGTATGTCCAAACCTTAATCTTGAAATACGTCCCTCACTGCTTTTCTAATGAATGATTTGGCCTCTCCTTTTCAAAGGGAACTTTCCTTATTTCATCTTTTAATCTCAACGCTATCTTTGCAATCTCGTCTGCTTTCTCATTCCCATCAACACAAACATGAGCAGGGACCCAAACAAACTGCCAAGCACTGACTGCAATGGCTGCGATTTGCTCCGCCGCCTGTAGGACTGAGTCCTAAAGGTGTGGTGGTGTTATTTACGGTTAACACTGAACCGCTTCTTTCTACAGGCATGTGGTCTTTAAATGACACTATGATAGGAAAAATATGTTTTATTATTGGTTTTTTTTTTATGATGTCTGCACTTTAAAACAAATATTATCTCATAAATCGCTTCATTATTTTAGCAAAAGTAAATTCTATAACCGTAAACCTTTATTTAAAGTATCCATGAGTTAATTGCAACAATACATAAACTATTCAGCACTCTTCAAATACACACACACACACACACCCCTTAAATGCCAGAACCGCTGATTAATTTTTTTAAAAATTACTTTTATATTTATATACACACACGCGCGCACAAAGAGACAGCTCACCTCCAGATACAGAGCCCAGTGAGAGGATCAATAAACAGGAGAAAGCCATGAGAGTCATGTCGTCCGGGACAGAGAGCAGATCACAGCCGCATTGGATATGAAAGATTTTGGTGTGAACAGACGAGCTCGATCACTTCCTGCTCAGGGCGGAGCCTCAACTAAAGTCTGACTGGCTGGTTTCGTTGTGACGGGTGGCGTTAGCCAATCAGAGGTAGGAATGGACGCAAAAGCTGCTGTCCATCAAGTGAGAGGAGACGAGAAGCTTCTTTAACAGTAACGACACTCCGGTTTCCAAATCCGCCATGTTCAAGCTACACCAAGTAATATTTTAAAGCAAATGTGAATGATCCTGTCCAACAAGCTGCTTAATGTATTCATTCTACTGTCAAATGTGAATGATCCTGTCCAACAAGCTGCTTAATGTATTCATTCTACTGTTTAGACAAACAAACAGCTATAAACTATTTAGGCCTCAGCGTCCTTTTGAAACTAGAATCTGCGCCACTTCTAGAAATCTGCGGCCTAAAAGAGAATAAATGTTGTATTTGCGTCGTGGCCGGTCACTAAACCGACGTACTCACCTACACGTCGTCCCTTCAGGTAGAAACTGGTGCTTTCTGAGGAAAAAGCTGCTTCTTAGCGACGTCCGGATCCCTCTGCTCGTCTCGGCAGCCATTTTCGTAACGTACAAACCCGCAGAGCTCAGATCCAGACGGGGCTGAATGCTGCGTTTGAAAGGCACGTTGCTCCTTCTGCTGCTCCGTTTAACTCTCCACACCGCACGAAGTGAACCAGTACGGGTCTACTGGTCTACTGGTCCACATTAAGACAGAGTCGCGGCATCTCCGTTCACTCCAATGGACCAGTTTTTCGCAGCAGTGGCGGATCGCGGAGGTCTGAATACTTCCCGGAAGTTTGCATCAAATGCCAGCAGCGCAGTGGAGCTTCAGTAGAAAACGCTGTGCGGGAGGCACGTTTGAAAGATAAGACGTGTAAAAAAATATGAGATTATATGTTATTGGCACAATTGAATCAATTTAACATGTGTGTTAAAAAGATTAGTGGACCAACTAAATTAGAAGATTTAGACATTAACGGTTAACAAATTAACATACTGGCAATAGATAAAGTTTGCAGCGCAATATAAACAGGGGCAGCTTATTGATTTATTTTAAAATACATTTTTTGGTGGGGTTGGATTTAATTTTATTTAAATATATTAGTGATGCATGTATGAATAAAAGATTTCAAAACATTATTTATTTGGGGAGAATTATCCCTAACAGTAAAAGTAGTACACCAGCATATTATAAAAACAATCTTCATTAATTATATTAGAGCAGTAGAGTCTGCGAGGTGGAGGAGCAGTGACGTTAAAGAGTACTGAGCGGTGAGATGGAAAACAACACGATTGTAAATGCCTTTTATAATATACCATTTATAAGAAATCAAACCTGCAATATTTTATCATTTTCTTTCCCTTCTCTCTGTGTCTGCATCCTTTCTTAGCTTATGAGCTTATTGTCCACACAACAATTCAGGTTTATTTACAGACATTCTTACTGGTGAACACTCAATTCTTACTGGATATGTTTAGTCTAATTACATAATTACTTTGTATAAATTCAGATCACATCATCATCAGTGTTGCTGTGTTTGAAAAAATCAAAACTATCCAGTAACTGATGCCAACATCAGCAGCAAAAGCTGTTAATGACGTCCAAAACTCAACAATTCATAACTTTCTCAATCAAAACCGCTGTTCACAACAAAGGTTGAATTGAGAGCAACTGGACTTTTTCTGAAACGTCCAGATGATCCTGATTCACCTTTTCTTGGAGAAACATGACCTGGATGAATCTTTACGGATGTGTAGGTTTGTCTAACCTTCTCTCTCTTATTCTCCCTCTCAGCACAAGAATCACAGTGGAGCCTGAAGATGATCTGCAGTGATGTTTTTAATAAACAAACATAAAGCCAGTGATGTGTTCTTTCTTTGTGGAAAAAGTACCTCACATGTTTTTATTACTAGCCTCTTTAGTGATTGTAAGGTTGCTCCTGTTGACCTGAGTCAACCATTTTTTCCTCCTCTCCATGTCAGCTGGGAAACCAAACTTTCATACTCCTTTTTCTGACCGACTGCAGCAGAATCTCCACACAGCACAATAAGACAGTTCACAGACACAAACCACTTAACATGCTGTTGTCTGAGTTTACTGGAGATTTATTAAATTAATACATGACAATCATTGATGGTCACCTGTCTGTTCCAACTGAAGTCATAAAGATTACATTAGTCATTAAGATCAATTAACCCTGGTACCGTGGGGTTACTAAAAGGTATGTTAGCAAAGTAAATCGTGAAATAAACAGGCTAACTGCTGTCCTGAACTACATATAACATTAGTTCACTTGTCTTAATCTGAAGTTACAGGTCACCAATGGCCTTACAAATGTTTCATTCTCCAACAGCCTAACAGGTATTATTTTATTAGTTATTGTTTTTATTTCAGTTAGCTAAAGTGTTTTTTTTTCCACATCCAGTGCTACTTTAGTTTTACTAAAAAACGTTAGTTTAGTTTTAGTCTATTATCACCTTTCTAACTGCATGGTACATGGGCTACTTTTATTTTGAAGGTTTTACCGGTTCCTGGCCCTTCTAAAACAGGAATAGACCACGTGACTTGTTTTTGGTTTATAACGAGAAACGAAAGTTCACAGACTTTCTTCAATTTGTTCAAAAAGGAACAACAATAAAATAAATTGCCAAAAAACGGACTGATTTTAATTGTTTTTTTGATTCTAACACCAAAAACGGTTATTTGGTTTTTCATTTTGAAACAAAAAACAGATATTTTCGTTTTTGTATTACAAACGAGTTACGGATTATCCAGAGATAACCAGACCCTGGGCTCAGGAGCGGAGCACTGGGGGAATTCAGAGTCGATAGCAGGGACTCTCTGAGACGACACCCAAACCAGTCCAGCCACACCAGGAGCGCTCAGTAGGCGCGGTTCTTGGCCCAGAGCCTTCTCAAAGCGGGCTCGCGCGTCCAGCCCCTCGTGCCAATCCTCAGCACTTAAGTCCCAAAAGAGATTGTCCGCGATGGTCCTCACCTGGCACAGGTCCTCTGGGGAAGGGCTAATGTCCGCTGGGTCCATCTCCGGTCCGGCACAACGATCGCAGAGCGCAGGCCGAGATTACGGCGCAGAGGCGGGGACATGCTCGGAGACATGCTCGGGGACATGCTCGGGGACTCCTTCGCGGGCAGAGGGGATAAGGCGTGGAGGAAGCTAGCGTCCGAAGGGGGGACAAAAACTGTCGGGCCCCGGCAAGAAAAGCCTCCCTAAGGCTGTCGCTGATGGCACCACAGGCCCCTCAGCGTAATGCTGGGTCCACGTTGGCTTGGTCTTTCCGTTACGGGTGTGGTGTGGGAGACAGAGAGGACCCAAATGCAGCCACAACAAAAACAATCTAAAAGACTACGAGGAGTTGTTCTCTGGATTAAGATGTTTGCCAGGGAAACACCAGATCCAGATTGATCCAGCTGTTGCAGCACTCGTGCACGCCCAGAGGAAAAATTCCAGTAGCTTTCAGGGAAAAAGAAGATGGAAGAGATGGGAGTCATAACAAGACAAACCGAACCGACACACTGGGGGAACAGGGAGGTGACAGAAACTGAAATAAGACCAGGATGTGCGTGGATCCACAAGATCTCAACAGGGCCATCAAAAGAGAGCGCACAGAGGCTGTCTCCCTCATGTCTAATGCAAAGTACGTCTCCGTGCTGGATGTCAGTCAAGGTTTCTGGCAGATCAAGCTGGATGAGGAAAGTTTCATATGTTGTACTTTTAACACCTACAGGGAGATGCTGTTTCCTCCGTCTACCAGACCATGGGAGAAGACTGGCACCCATCTCTTTCACTGCAAGCGTGCAGAATATCTGCTTCGACTCGAAGTTGAAATATCCTGAGATCCCAAAGCCAAGTGAAGCAACCAGCCGGGGTGTCAAGAACATGTTGAAAAAAGGCAGGAAGCAGCAAGTGACCCGAACATTTCACTACCTGAATACCTCAACACACCAACGAGGGGGCGTGCACTGCAAAAACTACAATCTAAGTAAGATTAATTATCTTAATTGAAGGCAAAATATACTTGTTTTTTGTCTGATAATTTTGCTTATTTTAAGTAATATTTCCCCCATTGCTTTTTTCCCCTTGTTTTTGAGAGCTCAGGTTTTTGTTCTCTCCCTCACAGCTGCTGACGGGCCAACTTCCACAACTCACTCCTTCCTTAGACGGAAGTTCAGAAAAAGTTTTAACGGCAGCTTGTTGGGGGGGGGACTTAAAATAGTAATAATAAATACATACATGCAAAATTAAATAAGTGACTTTGGAAATAAATAAAAAGAAAAAACATGTTATAATGCATAAATATATAAATAAATGTTTTAAATAATGTATTTAAAAGAGACGGCTTCTTTGTTAATTTCATACGAGACCATCAGACGGTCCTTTTCCCTTTCCTGCTCTGCTCTTCTGGGTTTTCTCTTTATTCCTCTGGTGGGGTTATTTGGCCACAGTGCACAGTTGGTTTAACTCATCTCAAGTACAGCTTTACATGTATTGTTGAAGTTATGTAGTAACTTAATTTGGTTTCCAGATATTGCTCTGTGTAGATGCAGTGAAGGCCTCAAACTGAACTGTCAGACAGAGTTGGCCTTGAGGACACCAGAGGGAACTTAAGTCGACGCTGGGACTTAAAAAATAAAAACTTTGTGGTCAGAAACATAAATTAGACAGAGAGACCAACACTTATACGAATTCAACCAGGTGCGAAGGACACGTGAGGACGGCCCGCCACACTCCTCAGAGCAGAGTGATGACACAAGCTGCTGATGATGGAAAAGAGTTTAATACTCAGTCGGGGGAAGATTCAAGAGGCAGTTGAGAGATAATCACGAGCTGGTGTTTTAAATGTTTTGATTAATTAGAAGTACACACTTTCTTCCCAATGCCCACATGCAGTATGTCTTCCAGTGTTTACATACAAATTCTGAAGGAAATCTGACGTTTAACATTTTGAGCTGTGGTGTGTTAAGCGTGAGACGCGATCCTCCATCTGAATCTCTCTCTGTCGATATGATCAAAGAACCAAATGTGTCCTGAATTCAACATGAAGCAAAACAATAACAACTCAAGTTTCCAAATGTAAAAACATAAAAATATTTATTTGTGTCCCACAATCTGCTTTATAAATACAGATAAAAACAATCAGACCTGGTATTATTCTCAGTAAACTTTGTTCTCCAGTGAGTTATTTATCTTAAGCTTTAAATATAAAATAAATAAGTATTTCTAAGAGACAGCATTACAATACAACACAATTGCCAAAATATATATTAAATCTATCTTTAGCTGTGATCTGACACACGGGAAGCGATTTATGGGCCTTGTAATTCATTTCAAAGACAGTCGAGAGCGACGAGTGGGCGTGCGACCCCATGGGGGCCAAGCGACTACGCAGGCGGAGCGTCGCCCCCCCCTTGAAGAGACCTTCAAGCTGGTCTTTAATTAAAGAGTCAAGTCATCATTTACTGAGAGCAAATTTTAACAGATCTGCTTTTTACTTTATCTTTTACTTAAGCGGAATATTGTTGTACTTTTTAATCCCAGGCCAACGGGGGCCATTTGAATTGCCTTTAGTCTGACCCGCTCTGGGACCAATTTCCCAGGAGAGACCAAACCAGGAGCTGATCTGCAGTCGAAACAGTCACACAAGCCCCTCCACCACGTTAAGGTAGCAATCCATGAAGGGCGAAATGTCTGTTTGCACTGATGAAGCAGATCAACATGGTGAAGATCTTCAAACGCCAGATTTACACCTTCACACCCACAGAAGGAATGAAAATATGTTGAATGTATGAAACACATATTGACAAGTGGAAAGAGTCTGTGACAAGTCAGAGTAACTGGTCGTTCACTGCTTCATCAGCAGCGCTGTTCTGGTTTCTTGTCTGCATTTCTTTTATATTTCCAACCAACAGCCAATCCAACAGCAGCAGCTAAACAAACCAGAACAAAAGCTGCCCAGTCTGCAGTAAGACAGTAGTTTCCCTCCTCGACGTCTCCGCTGTTGGACCCTGAAGATCAAAGTGCATATTAGTCAGGAAATGAGTGAACAGTGGAACAGCCTCCATTTACTCTTCTATATCTTCTATATTCCTCATGTTTGACTCTCAGAATCAACATGGAATAAAGTGCAGCTACAACATGGCACACAGACACACTGACCTCCACAAACTCACCTGAAACCTCCAGCTGGATGATTCTGATTGGCTTAGTCTTGATGATGGCTCTCTTACGTCTTGATCCTTCTGTTGCAACTCGGCACTCGTATGTTCCAGCGTTGTTCCTGCTCACGTTCTTCAGAAGTAAAGACACGTTTCCGTCCTTCAGCTCTCTGTCCAGCAGCTGCACCTGGTCCTTAAAGGATGGATGCTGGAGGGTTTCATCTGAGCGTCCATCTCTGTAAAGGAGGACGTACTCTGGCTCCAGGTCAGTTCTGGTCCACTCTACGCCTCTGATGGAGACGTTACCAGCCTGACATGGCAGAATGACATCATCTCCAGGTTTCACTCGTACCACATCTAAAAACATCAGAGAGAAAAAGTAATTACATTTCTTTGCTTCAACAGAAGAACCTGAGATCACGGGAACTAGAGGTGTGAATCTTCAGACGCGTCACGATCCGATTACGATTCAGAGGGCTGCGGCGTGAATATAAAATGTTTAGTGTTTATTTTCTATACAGGATTTATTTTTTCTCACTGTGTGACTTAGTAATGTTACAGCAAAGTTATGACATGTGGCTACTTTCTAACGTTACTTCCTATAAATGCAGCGAACGTTACAAAGTGCTAAAGTACGTAGTGTTGGTGTCCTGCTCAGCTTCCAGACCAGAGTCTGATAAGTCTTAAGATAGGCTCAGGAAAACTCAAGAATTTAAATTAACTTTTGGGTATTGACCAAAATAACTTAATTATTAATCACAATGATTGTGTGTACCAAATACAGACTAATGTGACAATTAATATGCACATGTTTGAAACTTTATTGATCCCATGATTTCAACTACATTTTGATGATGTTCATAAATATTAACATTTATGTAAAGGCCCTAAATATATTTAGCAGTGAGGGTAACACCATTCATAGTTTATGTGAATTATTTGCTTATTAGTTACTAAAATACCTTTACAAGATCATAAAGCACGACACAAGTATAAATGTAAGGATATCATGTAGACAGCTACAAAGCTATTAAAGAAAAATATTTAAATCATTAACATATTTTCATTGCTTTCCTTTAGATCATGCATTTTAAAGATAAAGAGGTTTCAAATGTAGTATTTTACAATCAAAGTGAAGTCCAGTGGACCAATGCGACCTTATTCAGGCTACAGATATTCTAGACGTTTCTGAAAAGGGGGCTGGTCTGTGCTGGCGGCAGTGAGCAGGAATGGCAGCCGGGAAAACTTAAAAACGTTGGGCTGAAGCCAGTAATAGCCGTAAGTATCAAACGTTTTGGAGTCGGTAATAGAGTAAATAAAGCGATCGGACGGATTTTATTGCCTTTTTCCCCTCCCAATCACAGTGACTCTCTGGTACCGTCACGTTCTTCCCTCATCAGCGAGAAGAAACTGGATACTTGACGATAAGAGTCGTATTACACATTAACTAATATAAACATGTTCACAACTTTTCCACAAACATGAATCTGTTCACAATAAAAGTTCGTCTTTACCAGAAGCTGCTGGAGACAGAAGGAAACAGGAACACGAACTTATCCATGAGAGAGGAGGCGAAGTGCGTCTGCTGCCGTCAAGTTACCTGTTACTTCTGTGCAGATCACAAACTCAGACCCTTGGTGGGGGGCGGGGCTAACTATTGCATTATACCGCGTCCTGTGTAGAAAGTATAATCTGCGGTCTAAAAGGAAATAGATGTCTTTGGGTCATGTCCAATAAACCGGGTTACTGGGTGTCTGAGCGGGATCAGGATCCGCCCGCGCGTCTCACCGCCATCTTTGCGCGTCTCCGCCGCCATCTTTAAGCACAAAACCCCCGAGAGAAAAGATCCAGACTGGGAGGAAACTCCTTTACGTTGCGTCGTCGCCGCGAGGTGTAAATTAACCACACCTGGTCTGTTGTTGTCGTTTTAAAACATTTCATAAATCACTTCTTATTCTTATTCTTCGGTGTCGGTGCGGTCGCGCAGGGAATATATGCACAGTTAATCCCTACCAGAATAAAAGCACGGTAGTTTGTTGCAGAAAGGAAAGAAAGTCAGACTCATAAATCTTGAGTGGACTCACTCAGAACTTTTTCTGCACACAGAAACCAGGTGGAAGAAGTATTTCAAATCTTCAGAGTATCACGGTGTGAAAATACTGCACTGCAAGTAAAAGTCCTGCAGTCAAATCTCATATAGAAAGTAGCCTGTCACTGTCAGTGACCTGAGCTTTAAACAGCGTCACAGTGGAGGTGCTCATGCTGCAGTAAAAAGTTTCTATCTGGATTAATATTCATATTTTTCTGCTGCAGATGTTAGAACTTTTAGATCCTGTTAAAGTTTGGAACTCGTGTTTTTCTGTTGTGAACCAGTTATATTCTCTTTGATGACCCCCTGACCTCCCTGGCTTATTTCTGACTCAATAGCTGGACAGAAGATGTTGTTTACCTGCAGATCGTCCATGATTATGAATAAAGATTAATTTAAAACAAACACAAAAAAAACACGTCTCTTCTTTGAGGTTTTATGGGGTTGGTTTAAATCTTTCCTCAGCGTAATATCTATCTCTTCTCCTGAAATGTCCACAATGTCCAAGAATCTGCTTGCAGCATCCAACAACATCTTAATCCTCTCTGACTTGCTCTTTATTTCAACAGCACAATTTAGCACCATGGCAATGAATACCAGAAATCGCTTGTCCATACAGACTGTCCGTAATAAATTATACATAAAGAAAAGATGTGGAAAGTAAGAGCAACAGTGGTCTCAGTGGTGACGGAGCACCAGGGGGCTGTGACCTCCAAACTGGGAGAGTGGCTGCAGCAGATTCCAGGTAAAAACATCAGAGGTCTCTGTCCAGAAGAGTGCAGTCCTATGAACAGATAAGATACTGCGCAGAACCCTCAAACTCCCAGGCCTCTGGTCCAGGACCCGAGCTTGAGGATGACACATACCACCTCACAGGGGGTGAGGGGGGTTGAATTTATACATACAGGCTATTTATTTTTCTCCTTCTACCATCATATTATTCAAGCCTCTATGTTTCACAAACTGGAATGACTGACTGGTTGTGAATCAATTCCAATAAAGTTGATTTAAAAAACAAAACAAATTGGCATACAAAAAGAGACGGGGCAAGAACAGAACAAATAAAATGCAAATACAAAACAATAAAACAAAAGGAGCAGAAACCTGTTGTATGAGGGGAGATATAAGTTAATAAAGCCTATAAATAAAGCCTTTTTACTGAGTAATTACAGACTATATTTAAGGGTTTTGATTTCTTTTCAAATGAAAACTGAATTTGAAGTGTTCGGTCTTATGGATATAAAATTTGGACCAGAGATCAGTACTTTTCTGATTGGCGCCTATACACAAAAATATATTTCCCACCAAATGAGAGCTCGAGGATCTCTCCATTGAAAGAAATATAACAACACACTTAAACTTTGGAGATATGCTTTTTATAACATAATTCTCGAGAGGTATCCAAGCACTATTACTGGCAAGATACTCATATTCACAGAATTGACCTCTGTCAGTAGTACATCTAAAACAACATCACATCCTTATCAATCTGTAGGTTTCCTCTGAATGAAGCCCTAGCTTGACGCTCCATCATCCCTCGTCCGAATCCACATAACAAATCCAGAGGACCACAAGTAAAAAAAATACATCCGTTTACTCAGAGCAAGAAAACATCAGTACAGAAAATTACAGAAATTAGATTTTTAATTAACAGGAGAGAAAATAGGAAGAGAGAGAGGAGGTCTAAAAACTATGTGGCTCCACTCTCTGACTGTCCACTAACTTCCCAATCTTTCTCCTGAGAGTTTTCCCAAGCAATTAAAGGTGAATGCTGTAAAAAGGAAAAAGACGGCAACAGCCCTCGATTGCCCAGAT